TCTCCATTAAAGTTCATTCAAACACTTGACCACACTGACAGCTCGCACTAAAAATGAGAACCGGCTGGCCGTATGGGTGATTTTGGAAATTTTTTGAACAGTTTCGCTAAAAGCCCACGATTGATCGTCCTGAACATTGAAAAATTGTGAAATGCCGTATTCTGTCCGAGGTCTGTATGATAAAAAGTACTGTTCCACCTCAGATGTGATGTATAAAAAGTATAAAAGGTTGGTTTACACAGCCTCAAATTTGTTGGCAAGAATTTGTAAAGTAACCTGTCGAAGGCAAAAAAATGCGGCTTGATTTGTTTTCCAAGAATTTGTTTTCGAGGCCTAATCTACTGTGATCAAGAGCCATTATGGCTCCTGAATGTGATAGAAGATGTTTGCTATTTTTTGGGTGTACATACATGTATATTTAGGCTATCAACTCGATGTAAGATCTTTCACTCTAAAATAACTTATCCTTTCCCTCAAAAGTCACATGAATGTGCCCTTAAGTTAACTGATTTGTGGATTACAAGTTAATTGGTTGATTTAAAATATAAATTTATTAATGGGAGCTTCGCTTTTAGCCCTAGCTAAATCTATATATTAATAACACCATCAACAGTCTTTATCGTTGTTGAGCTCCTTGTTGCTCATATTGATTTAGGAGTACTTAATGAAAACGTTCCTCTAAATATCTTTTCCACGGTGGCTGGCAACAGATGCCGCTATCTAGGTTGTGCAAAAGGAGGGAATAGGGAGACCGGAGACTGGAAACAACAAACCCCTGTGGTTGGCCTGTTACGTCAGCCTTTGACATAAGATACGTTTTGGAGGACTGCGCTGTCTGTGCAACGAGGTCAAGATTTTGCAACGATGAGGTTTAATCCGTGACGACAATTATTCACTACCCACTGCGTCTGACACGAGTTTAATATCATTTTAACATCGGACTATTAAAAACAGATGATCAGACTTATATATAACGCCGACTACTGAATACTGAAATTGCAAAGTTGTTGGTTTTTGGTTCCTCGAGTTGAAAGTGTTGGTTGCAGTCAACTTACATGCATGGTGGGTTTGTAGAAGTAGAATGCTGCGCGCTCAATTTTCAAGAACGAGTGATCATATACACCTAATTGCAATAAGGTTGTCATAGAAAAAAGCAAAAAGAAAAAAGCAAAAAGCAAAAAGTTAAATAGGAATTAATTAGCATGTAATTATCATAGCTTGCAACATTCACAACACACACGCTTACTGCTGAATATTAATCACGTAATATGAGAGAAATCATTTGCATCAGTTTCTTACTGTCATTCTCATGCAATTCAAGGCTGAATCATTTAGCGAATTTCAAACTTGCTCGAATTACAAAGCACATCGGATAACTACCAAAGAAATAATGGCTTCATTTTTTTTCAATAAATATAGCCTGGAGTAAATTCCAGGAACTCAACGCGTGTTTTAGATTAGTGCTAAATAGAAAAGCCAGTCTGCGTATGGTTTGCAGTGCACAATACCATCTGATCACAATTTTCAAGCAACAAATCAGGGGCGCAGGCAGGACTTTTCATTGTGGAGAGGGTGAGGGGGTCCTCCGCCAGTTCCTCACCTGAGCCACAAACCAAGCTTCGTTTGTCAGGATATAATAGATTGGCAACTGAACGTGCACAACTGAGACATAACATTGCTCGCGTCAATTTACCTTTTTCTTTCTCGAATTGTGCGACTTCTTTTGATGGAGAATGTTGGCTCTAAAATGACTATGGCGCCTGTCTATCTTACAGCGCGGAATTACAGAATCATCTCTTGCTATTGTGAATGAATTCTTAAATAATTGTTAAATACTGAATTAAAATACACAAATGTAAATCACATGGCTAATTTATTCCTATTTGGCTTTTTTGCTTTTTGCTTTTTTTCTATGACAACATTATTGCAATTAGGTGTATGTTAAATGTTGGTAGTTAGTTGAATTATTAACTTTGAATGTTGAAACGTGACTTTGAAAGTTGGGGTCTATAACTTAATGTTGGCTACTCAAGTTGATTTTCGGCGGGGATTGAGCACCATACTCATCTATGCTCAAAGAGGCTCTTTACTCTGTTAAGACAATTCGGTTCTCTTTCTTGGCATTGAAATGAAGAATAAATGACATTGCTCATTACAACACTGGCTGCTTTAAAAAGGTAAAAACAAAAAACAATATAATAGTATAAAATAGTATTATTTAATAGCTTCAATCTCATAGAAGGATAAAGTGGCCAAGCTTGCAAACAAATAGAGAGCGTCACACTGAGAAAACAAGGATATTTTACAGGGAAGGCAAACTCTTTATAGCTATCTACAAATGTTAATTTATAGCTTACCTGTGCCTGTCTATCTGTGTTTAATCGTTTTGGAAGGGATTTCCACTATCGCGCGTAAGGTTTCTCCCTTTGATCAGTTCAAAACAAAATCACTTCAGACGCGTTAGGACCTGAGGACGACCAATATTGTTTCCATGAATTTAACGAATATCTTAACAGTTTGAATCCGCAGAAACAGTTGCTGAAGGTAGTTGAAGATGGGCCCGGGGCAAACATCTTTCCTAGACACCCTATTATTCATAAGAAGGACGAGGGTGGCAGCAAACGACATATAATAGAAAACAATGCAATAACCACATGAATTTGTCAGATTTGAATTTTCTATCGAGCCACTGAATTACTAAAAACTCCAGTTAACCTGCCGTTATTTGTTAAACGGCCCCGGTGCAGTTAAATTGGTCCCTAAGGAGAGTCATAAAATATAGGAACGCCAGAACAATAAAGGGGCTCTACTCGCTACCGTTATACAAGGTGGCCTTCGAGATTCCTAAGAATACCTACAGGGATAAGTTCTAACAACCGAAAACACTCCCTTATAGCAAATTCCTAACATGGAACTACGCTACCAAAAAAAACTTTCTTCTGGTCCATCATAACGACAAAACCAGTGGTGCTATGGTTAACCGCTGTTGGTGCTTTAACACCTCATTTTGTTGTTGAGACTTCTGCTATTGATAATGCGAAAGCTCCAAATTTAATAATTTGTACACGTTAGTTGCTAATCACCTTTTTTGTCATGAGTGGAGTTACTTTGAAAATATCATGAAAGAGATGGTAGCTTTCTTTCTCAGCAAAGGTATAGTAAAAGGCGGAGGGCTGATTATTCATTTATTTATTTATTTTTTGCTGTGACTTATTTTTGTTGGTCTGTTGATGTTTTTGTTGTGATTGTTGTTGTTGCTGTTTGTTTGTTTGTTTTGTTGTTTTATGTTGCCGCCCGGTTTCAAGCAAGCACTTCATAATAAACCTCCAACTCATCTGGGCGGAAATTATTCCCGTATCGTGTTCCAACCCAAATCCTATAGTCGCAATGGGGACCGCTGCGGTACGAGTTACAATTAAAGTAAGAATTGGTATTTCCTCCCGCATTGTTCGCAATATGCATATCATGGCCCGAACCGAAGGTTGGACCATAATAATACTGGCTGTAAGTGGCGTGGTTATAAGAGTCGCCAGTTATGTCCTGTTTGAAGTATCCATACCCTTTGTAGTTTCTCAGTGAGTACAAGAAAGTATTTGTCGAATATTGATAACCACCAGACCCTGAAGAGAAAAAAAACAGAACACAAACAATTAGAGATTCAGTGTAACTCAGCCGAGTTCAATAGACCATTTTACAATTATGGATGGAAACGAGGCTGGAGTGGACCTTGCTTTGATACAACCATTTCTGCTTTCTTAATATGTAAATCGTGTTTTTTTTATTCTAACTAGTACTTTTTAAGTATAATTTCCATAAGAAAACAAAGGAGGTTTATTGTATCAAAACATTGTTATGCTCTAAGGCCGCAACAGGCGCTTCATTTTACCTAAATGCAAGACATCGTTTTAGGAATAGTTTTATTATTAGATCCTGTACGCAGATTTTTAGACTTTTTATCACATTTTTCACACTTTTTTATTTACTGTAATTAGTTTTATATACACATTTTATCAATTGCATCCTTTGTAAATACGCAACTCAGCATTTGGGCAGCAAAGTATTGGTAATAAACTATCTAACTATCTATTTGTCATGATCAACCTCAGTCTTGCACTCAATCGAAGTCTAGGATACTAAGCCCACATCTGTAAAATGGTGTATTTTTAGGAAACGGTGGTGGGTTAGTAAATACTGAGAGCAGGGAAGTAGTATACAATGCGTGAAATACCACATAAATCACGCTCAAATCCTCACGAATTGGATCATCACAAGTTGCCTTCGTCCCCAGGGCTTTTCTATTAGAAAATTTAAAAGAAACGGCGGTCCACCCCTATCAGTTTTGAAGAAAAAGACCTGGTAGAACCACCTGTAGTACAGCAGTACTAAGCCCGACCTTCTCCACTAAGCCCCATATCCCCGCGGCCTCAAACGCGCTTGTTACAAAAAAAGAAATAAATAGATGAAAAATAAATTATAAATAAAGCAGCCCGAGAGTTCAACACAGTTTTTTGTTGGCATGTTTGGAGCGTTTTAAGCAGAACAAACATTTATTTTTCTAGATCTGGATACGTCTAATCCCCGATCATACAAGAAAACGCAAGGCCAAGCCGTTGGGCAAGGAGAAGCCAGTGTATAAAACAGTTGTCATCACCGATAATGCAAGGAAAATGTGCCAGATTGTGCCAATCAAAACCACTGGTTGTCAGAAAGTTTTTGTCAATAATACCCATGGCTAATGTTTAGAATGCAGTTCATGCTTCTGCAATGTTGTGACTTTGGATAAGAGTGTCAGGTTGCGAGTATTTGATTAAACTCTTACCACAAAATCCTCTCCAACTAGCAGTATTGCTAGTGATTAATAACAATCTACTTAAGACTAGAGTTGTTTTGAACTACTTGCGAAAATTTTAAAGGCCCCATCTCTCCTTCCTATGACATTTGGGGTTAATAACCCCCGGTTTTAATTCAGTTCAATAGTCGATACCTTCTTCGTATCTTAGCTATTTCAGAGACTTACACTTCCACGACTTGTCGCTGTAGCCTCCAAAAATATAGATTCCGACCCTAACAATTGTTACAGTGGGTCCTTTGTTATCGCAATAGCTGTGAAAGGTCTGTGAGCTCCAGCCATGATTAGAGGCTCTATAACACAGTTGCCAATAACTTCTGTCTGGACTTTGCAAGTGCGGAAGAAGCCAGGTATTTAACTGCGATATCTTGCTGGCATCGTTCGCTAAGATAACGGAGTCATCGAGGCCACCTGGTAAAAAGAAAGTAAATCAGAAATTCATCCTTCTTAAAGATACTGTATTTCGGAGACTGACAACGACTCCAGTAATTGCTATACCTAAAAAAAAACCACTTGACTAATTAAACATATCAGCGGGGTTAGCCTAAAATACACTCAGAATTAAAGTACCCAAGAAAGTCAGAAGCAATCGAAATAATAAACAAGCAAATCTCGCTTTCGTTGCATTTGAAATTTCATTAAGAGTATATTCTTGGACAAGAGCATAATAAAGATGATCGACAGGCAGGCGAGAGGTTGCTCTTTGCCGACATAAATATTGGTGTATACCTTTTCCCAGAAAATAGAAGTTAACAATTGTCAGAGTAGTGGTAAAACGAAGAGAACAAAATGAGGAGCTTACGATGGGGAGTGCATGTTTTCCCGTCACCAATGTAATGTGCATTCACGTCGCACTTGCAAGTAAATGACCCTTCTGTGTTAGTGCAGATTGCATGGGAGTGACAGTCATGGGTGTTGAGCGAGCATTCATCAACATCTGGAAGATAACAAAACTTTTTTTTATTTTAAGCTGGGCCTTCTTTTTTGTCAACGAATGTCATAGTCATAGGAGTAAACTTTTCAAGACATAACAAGAACACTAGTAGACCATTGTGAAGAAATGACTTTCAATTCTGTGCACGCATGTAAGCAGTGGCGAATTCAGATTTGCAAGTAAGTAGAGGACCCGACTGAGAAATTGATTTTACTCAACCCTTCGGGCCTCCGTTTAGCCTAAAAATAAAGCTAAATAAGGAGGGGGGACGGGCCGCCGCTTGACGAGACGTCAAGTTAAAGTCTTTTTTCTTCCCAGAAATTCGCTTACATTTCGTTATGTTTATCACCGCAGTTTGCTTTTTGTTTCTTCTTAAACGACATCTGTAGAAGAAGATGAATAACAAGAGCGAGAAGAACAACGAGGGTAGAGACATTACCGTTTACCGGGTAGTTTTCATAATCGTCCTCCACACAACAGATATTAGTTATGAAAAAAATAAAAATAAAAAATTCTACAACTTCTATAAATGTCTAAAAAGATCTGCAAACTTTAAAATGTGCTTACGAGGCGTTGTATTAATTGGTAAACTTATCAGTAGACAGTGCTTTTCTGAACATTGCGTGGGAAACTATGTCTCTATATACGAGTGACCTCACTTTTTCTATAAACAACAAGCACTTGCTAACTTCCTATTCCTATTCCTAGGTGTCAGAACGTTGTTATGGGTGGCGGATCTAGTACTATGAGCATGTGAAGAACGGACATGTTTGAAATAGGACGTGAAATAATCAGGACGATGATCTAGACTCACTTTGTGTAGAATGAGAAGTTTTGCTATACGTATGATGTCACCTATGGCCAGACGACCTTATTTTTCGAAAAGCTTTACAGAGCTGTCGTTTATAGTATTCAGTATTTATTCAAAGGCTTGTACCTCGACAGGTTCGTCCATCCCCCGTGAAGCCGCTGTTACATGTGCAAGTGTAGGATCCATCTGTATTATAACAAGTCGCACTGCTGTCACACTGGTGACCTGAAGAACATTCGTCGATATCTGAAGGAAAAAAATTACTCTTTACGACTGTTTCAAGGAATTCAAAGTACCGTACGATTTTGAAGCTTCTAGCATATTAGCCCCATCAGCATACAAGAAAGCCTCTCATGATGAATCCCCGAAAGTTTAAGCCCGCGTAACAAGATCTAACAAGCGTCCCCGGTCCGGTTTGTTGAGAAATTTGTAACCAGAGCGGAAAGCTACGCAGTGTACGAGAATTGTAGGGAAATCCACGTACGTACTTTAATTCCTTTTTTGGGCTGTATTTAAAACTATAGTATGGTCTGCATTCCTATATACTATAAAATTAGGATAGTTAATAAACTTCATTGCTCAGTGTTGTTCATAGAGATTAGGTTAATGTCCAAATTTTATCATTTCTGAAACTGGAAAAAAAAAGTTGCTGAGAAGATCTCCCTCCTAATTTATTCCAGCCTATGTTTAAACGCTTATTTTACTTCTATTATACGCTGCTCAGTATTTAAACCCCTCTAAAGAGTTATTTGAAAACTAAATTTTCAGGCAATATTACGGTAAAAGCATGCTTATTCTACCTTAGAAATTCGCCCTAAGCTAGCCTTAAACTAACAAGAGATGTCTCTTTACCGTTGGATGAGGATCTTCAAAAATTAACCTTCACGAATTAAACGAAAAACTACAACTTGGGTCTTCGAACATAATACCTCTGCAAAGAAAGCCATCACCAGCATATCCTACGGAGCACCGGCAGCTATAGGAGCCAATAGTGTTTGTGCAGATGGCGTTCTGATGACATTGGTTATTGTCTCCTCCACATTCATCAAAATCTAATTTTAAAAACGAATAAAAAACAATCGTTCAGTCAATCAACCTGCAAAACAAATAACGAAACGATCGTTTGTCAATCAAAATTTAAAATCGTTGCTCATATGAGTCAATCAGCACGAAAACTGTTGTGTATGAAGGGGTAATGTAGTGCTAAAAGCTCCAGCTTATGGATCCTTTTTGTGACGTCTAATTTCTTTTTCGCACAAGTAGTGCCTATTTTTCTTTGTAGACTAATCCTTTAATTTATACTATTTCTGCAACAAACAGATTTACAGTAGACTCAAACTTTTTGTCAGCTAAGAAGCCAGAGAAATGGGCCATTTGCACGATGACGCTTTTTATTTGGGCGTGGCCCAAATAGAGTAATGGAAACGGCTTGTTTTGACGCAAATGTGCAATAGGCACGCAATACGTGCTAAGGTAAACAAGGCAAGTAAACAAGCGAAGCGAGTGTTTGCCATGCGAACGTCTTGTACAAGGTAAGAGGCATGTGGGAAAGAAAGCTCTGCTAGCACACGGCACTTTATCGCACTTTTACGATCTCAAAAGTTAATCTGAATCTTCAGTATTTTTGCCTCATCGAAATTTCGAAGTCTGAAGTCCAGGGATGAAATCTATCAAAAATATTTGGAATGTTAACGTCGGGTTTTGGTCACATTAAGATCACAAGCAACGAACCTTGAAGCACAGAAACTCACAAAACGGATCGAAATCCACCAATCACAAATCACAAACAATGACCTTTTGAACCCGTTGAAGAAAACTTTCGTTTCCTAAGAGGTCCGCTAAGATGATTGGCGTCTGACATTTTTTTGACGAGAGGATCGAAATGCACCAATCATAGAAAGACAGTCTTAATTGCATGTTTCCTAAGAGGTCATCTGAGTTTGNGGGCGTGGCCCAAATAGAGTAATGGAAACGGCTTGTTTTGACGCAAATGTGCAATAGGCACGCAATACGTGCTAAGGTAAACAAGGCAAGTAAACAAGCGAAGCGAGTGTTTGCCATGCGAACGTCTTGTACAAGGTAAGAGGCATGTGGGAAAGAAAGCTCTGCTAGCACACGGCACTTTATCGCACTTTTACGATCTCAAAAGTTAATCTGAATCTTCAGTATTTTTGCCTCATCGAAATTTCGAAGTCTGAAGTCCAGGGATGAAATCTATCAAAAATATTTGGAATGTTAACGTCGGGTTTTGGTCACATTAAGATCACAAGCAACGAACCTTGAAGCACAGAAACTCACAAAACGGATCGAAATCCACCAATCACAAATCACAAACAATGACCTTTTGAACCCGTTGAAGAAAACTTTCGTTTCCTAAGAGGTCCGCTAAGATGATTGGCGTCTGACATTTTTTTGACGAGAGGATCGAAATGCACCAATCATAGAAAGACAGTCTTAATTGCATGTTTCCTAAGAGGTCATCTGAGTTTGCTGTTTTATGTCCATTTTCTTTTCCTTATTTTGCGATTGGCCGATTTTGTTAGGTCGAGTGGATAATCCAATGAGGGACGATTTGGATATCGCTTGATCCGAAATTTTACGAAACAGCAGTAAGAAGGAGTTTGGATAACATTTGGCCGCGGCGTTTCATGTTATCCCGGGTTAAACTTACAAATGCACACACTGTTCGCGGTAGGCCCACACTAAAAAATAACACTGAGTGTTTTCGGAATGGGCTGGTCCGCAAACTCAAAGAAAAACAAAGGAAATTATCAAGACATTCAATGACATCAAAGACTCAGGGACCCCATAGACGTAATAACAAATCGGAATATCAGGAGTGTACGGGTAACATGGATAAGAGTTTGAGCAGAGGAATGTTTAACAAGTTTGAGAGTCGCAAGATTTGTGTAGCTGGTTATCAGTGTGACAATAGTGACTTTGATTTTTGCATTGCGGAACACAACGAGTTGCCTGTGATAAAAATCTGTTCCGATGAAGGAAGAGACGATTGTCAACAATTGAAACCAAAAGGGACTGAGACTTCTTTTGGAACTACTGTGATAACTGCAACAATTCTTTTTATTATTTCAATTTTGTTTAGCAGGGTGATGGTTAATGTACTTGTTTTTGTATTGCGTGTTGTGCTTTTTCATCTAATTGTGTATATTGTGACGCGCGTATATGTACGATGCTGTGCGTCGGGATTTTGCATTATCAGCAAGTTTTGTGTTAGAGTGTTTTGATGGCAGCGAGGTGACGATAAGAGAAGGTAATGAGCTAGTTGCACAGGAGGAAAATTGTGTTGTGGAGGAAATAAAAGAGGTTGAATTGAGATCTCTTCGTGGGAAATTTATTTATAACAGAATTTACAATTCCATTGATTTAAATCAGGTTAGTCAATTATATTTTCGGCAAGACAAATTACCATAATATGGAGATTGTAATTCGAAACTCGCGGTGTTTTCAAAATTTGCATAAATCGGGCGCTTCAAAGAAATATTTAGGTTACAAGCGCTTCGAAATACTGCACCTTCAAAACGGCATAGCTTTTACTTGTTGTGCTATATCTTTCAAAACCATCGATCGATTCTTGCTCAAAAGCTCTCAAAGCGGCGGTTTAAATGTAAAAGCCCGTGGCTGTTTGAAATCGTCTCTTGTTTGTTTTCAAGAGATTTAGGATGGATCGAATCGACTTTGGATCGACTATTATTTTATCAGCTTGTGGTATGAACGAAGCGTTTTTCTTCTCGATAAAGTTCACTCAACAAATTTAGAAAGATTTACTTGACTTTTCATATGTGGAACGAACTGACTATTTTATGGAACGATCTGACCATGGAACGGAATGACCGGTTACCGTCATGCACTTAGCAGAATACCGATGAACAAATTAAAATCTTTGTTACAGAAAACACGGAAAGTGACACTTTTTGTATGGAAGAGTATTCGGAAACATACACCATTGTCGTCTGAAATTCATTGTTACGTTAAAAATAGAAAAGGTTTTCACTTAAACAGGTACAGAAGTAACTGTAACAGTGTGAGGTTTTTACTTAAGGGGCAACGCCAAAACTAGTTCGTAAACGAGGGAAGGTGTATCTGTCGTCTAAGCATCAAAGCACGGGCGATTTAGGTGGCCCTCTATACATGCAATTATCCATTTTATAGTGCTTACAACAGTTTGAATCACCGGGTTAATTTTGGCCAATTTAAGCTTTGTACTGATACATGTATAGAGAAGAATCCAGGACCTTCAGTTTATGTAGATGCTACAAAAACAATTAATGCTCCATACTGTCAAGGAAATGTTACAGTATTTGGGGAAAATGCTGGACAACAATGTGTCGCAATGAGTCTGTGCGCTTTAATTTACAATAAGATAACAAAGATCACTTCAGTTGATGATATGACTCAAATAATGATTGTAGGTATTCAATTATATTTTAGTCTGTCACTGCTTGCAAGACAATCTATGTTAATGATATCAGAACTGCCAGGAATGGTTACAGTGTTTGAGAAATTTTTCCACCTTGAATACAGTGACAGTTATACTTGTAACATCCATCACTACTGTATATGCCACTCACAGGGTACTGCATTTGAAACACTCTTGGCACTGAACTACAACTCATTCATTTTAACGGTGGCAATTATTGGTGTTTGTAACTACAGCATTGAGACTGGGAGATATAATGTATTTGATTCTCATGCTAGAGATATGTATCATAACAGTCATAGTGAAGGGACATGTGTATTGTTGGAAATACCATCCAAGCATAAATTAGTACAATATTTTCAGACTCTACATAGGAATGAGGATATATATGAACTTAAAGGTGTACAACCTTTGAACCTCATCTTTTCTCAAGCAATGTTGAACATTGTAGTATATCAAATGTTAATAGTTACCAATGTTCCTGTAAACAGTGCTGCCCTATAGCAGTTTATGCAATGTGTTACTCTCTTATTAATCCTTGTGGATACTGGACTTAA